TTTCAGAAAATGTTTCACAAAGTATAACTTCAGCTTAGGGTTGGTCCCTCAGCAGACAAACTCTGAAATGATGATTTACATGAAAGGGGTTTATTGGAATATAGTGTCAGCAAAAGCACCTGTGAGAGGGTGAGGGAAATAGAGGAAATTGAACTGTGATGTAGTTAACACAGAAGTCTCAGCTCTCCTATGGGGAACTCTGGAGCTGGGATGAGCCTTCAAAGCAGTTCTGAATTAAAGCAAGGGGGGTGGGGTCAGGCTTTGACCCCACCCCTTTTGAAGGAAGCAGCTCCCCTTGTATGTCCTAGGGAGGAACTCATGTGTGAACTCTTAGCAAGCACCATTCCCTGCAGCTGGAGAAATGATTGTTCAGTCCTGAAGAGGGTCTGGGCAGTATACCATAGCATTCGCTACAGGCCCCATGGGCCCTCAGAATCCCAGTCACATGGAATACTTGTTTAAAATTCAAGTTTCTGGATTCAGTCAAAGCACATCCACTGCCATCGAGTCAATTCTGACTCATAGTGACCCTGTTTTAGGACCAAGTAGAACTGCCTCATAGGGTTTCCAAGGCTGTAAATCTTTATGGAAGCAGATTGCCTTATGTTTCTCCTATGGAGTGGCTAGTGGGTTCGAATCATGGACCTTTTGCTTAGCTACTGAATGAACCACTATACCATCCAGAGCTCCTATTTCTGCGTCCAGAGGTACTAAATTGATCTCTAGGTGAAAGGCCTGTGCATTTGCATTTTCACAAGTTCCCCAGGTAATATGGATGGTCACTAAAGTTTGAGAGTCATTCTGGTATAGGCCAAAATGTATTTCAAAGTGAATATTTGCCTAATTCTTGGATGATGGAATGTCTCTTACCTGGTTTCAGATCTAAGCATTCTGTTCAGTTAACTCATTGAATTGTTAGAGATGGGAACAGAGATCTTATTTCTTTGATTTGAATAAATTTTCTTTGATTCTAGACAAGAAATCGCTTTGAAGGCACTAGGTCAGAAGTGGAATCACTGATGAAAAAGATGAAGGAGAATCCTCTTGAGCATAAGACCATCAGTCCCTATACCATGGAAGGGTACCTCTACGTTCAGGAGAAACGTAAGTATTTTTCACTATCACCAGCTTGGGATGCACTCATGCCTTTTGTTCGGAAGGTGGAGGGTATGTCCAATAGTGCCTGGTCTATAGTGAAAAACCAATTGTTGTTGACTTAGTTCTAACTCATGGCAACCCCACGTGTGTCAGAGTAGAACTGTACCCCATGGGGTTTTCAATGACTGATTTTTCTCAGAAGTAGATCATCTAGGAGTTCTGGTAGTGTAGTGCTTGAGGTACTTGACTGCTAACTAGAAGGCTGGATGTTCAAACCTACCAGCCACTCCTTGGAAGGAAGGTTGGGCAATATACTTCCGTAGTAATACTGTCTTCAGAAACCCAAAGAGGGGTCGCTATGAGTCAGGTCTGATTCAAGGGCATATAACAACAACAACAACAACAGCAGATCACCTAGATCTTTCTTATGCAGAACCAGTGGGTGGACCTGAACCTCCAAGCTTTTAGTTAGTAACTGAGTGCATTAACTGTTAACTGTTACGCGTTGCTCTGTAAATGTGTCTCTGGATGAATGAGAGTAACTTTATAGTTCACTTTCCAGAGGGGAAGATGATGTCCCCAGGGTCTTGTGTACCTCTGAGTGTTGTGTTCTGTTTTCCTGGTTACCAGGAATTCCCTTGAGAACCTAGAATTCATTGAGCATTGGTTGAGGCCCTTGCAGGCTGATAATACCTTCTTCCTTGAATAGTACTTTGTTGTTCAAAATAAAGTAATTGAACAAGCACCTGGTAAAGTAAGAGACTTTTAAAGAACTTGACTGTATGACTCCTTCCTGAAGGATACCCTTGAGGGGTGGCTCCTTAGATTACACTTGGGCCTACATCTCTGTGTCTCTGAGTTTTCCTCATCTGTTTTTCAGATCTTATTTAGTTCTGCTAAAGTAAAAATGAGGGGCTTGGAAATAGGTCAAAACCCCAGTATGACTGTAAGCAGAGTTGCAGAGAGCAGCTGTGTGGGAAGCATGAAATCATTGCCCTGGATGCGACTGGGGAAAAGCATTTTGAGGGGCCTTTCTGTGTTCTCTACTCCATCATCTTATTCCTGGCGGGGAAGAGAGAGGAAACTTTAAATGGAGATTGATGATGGGAATGTGAATTAATGTCCCCAGGGAACCTCTACTTCCCTTATATTTTAAGACTCATTGGATATAACACTAGTGGGAAACAGTCTTCTTGTTCCCTGGGGGAGAGCCCTGGGTGGGTTCCATTTCCAGCCTGTGGGATCAGTTTCTGTCTATTCTATTCTAGTTGGTGTGGAGAATGTCTTGCTCCAACGAGCAGTTAAGAGTAGGGGAGTATTGTGGGTTATGGAATGTGTGCTCCTCCAGTTAATGATGCACAGCATACAGTGGACATGTATAGATATTTTACGGGAAATACTACCTTGCAGGTCACTTTGGGACTTCTTGGGTGAAGCACTACTGTACATACCAACGGGATTCCAAACAAATCACCATGGTACCATTTGATCAAAAGTCAGGAGGGAAGGGGGTGAGTACATTTTTAAAATTTCATGCTCAATTTGCTTGGCTAACATAAAATGAAATGTATATAAAACAACACCTCCAATTTTTCACTGTGATTTTAAAAAATTTTCTGCAGTAGTTGCAGGAGGCATCCTAAAAGCTAACAAACACCAGATGATTATTCTTAGCTCTAAGTTATATCAAGATAATATATTAACTTTATATTAAGAACTGCAATTAAGAAAGACTATTGTATCTCACATATATACAATATTAAGTGTGTTGAATGTTCAGATGCTAAAAATTTTCAAATGACTTCACCCTGTGGGACTGATTCATGTCATTCTTACTTGCATGGAGAGCTACCAGTTAGCTATATAGATGTTCTAGATAGCTACTGCTGTAACAAATCACCCCCAAACCTTATGATTTAAAACAACACCAATCATTTTACTGTTTCTCACAGTTCCTGTGGATCAAGAATCCAGCAAGCATTTGGAGGGGTGGGTTGGTCTCGGTGTCTGTCATGTGATTCCAATCCTCGGAAGGAAGGTTGGGCAATCTACTTCTGTAGTGATACTGCCTCAACAACCCAAGGAAGGTCGCTATGAGTCGGGTCTGACTCGATGGCATATAACAACAACAACAAGAAGTGGCTAGAGCTGGAACAGTGAAGGCTGAAGCAGCTGAAGGCTGGCCAGGGATAGCTCTCCTGCTCTTCCATCTCTTTCTCCTTCTCTTCCTTCTTTGCCTCTTTCTCTGGGTAGTCTGAGGGCCTTTCCAGGTAGTCTCTATATGTGGGCTAGTTTGGGCTTCCTCACAGCATGGCAGCCTCAAGACAGATAAAGGATTCAAGAGTGAGTATTTCACTTAGGCAGATGCTGCATTTCCTTTTAATGACTTAGTCTCCGAAGTTACATAGCTTTACTGTTGCCTTACCTGTTTGTGGAAACAGTCACAAAAGCTCACTCAAATTCAGTAGGAGAGGACATAGATCTTACCTTTTGATGGGTGGAATGTCAAAATCTCATTGGATGAAGAGCATGTGAGATGGAAGACATTCTTGTAGCCATGTTTGGAATAGACAATGAGCTATATCAGGCTTCCTGATGTCATTGCTTTTGGGGAGCTCCTTGAAGTGCTCCAATGTTTCCTTTACCACAAAGCTATTATCACTTGCCTCCTGCCATTCAGTCTCCTTTGGGTCCTCTCACTGCAGTCTGAATACATTTTTTTTGTAGCTAATCTTGTCTCTTTTAATATCTTCTTCTTATTATTTTTAATGTACTACATTTCACTATGAGAAGCCTAGATGTGGACTTTTTTTCCAGTCTGTTGCACTTTTGAAATTTTGCTCTTCCTATATATCTGACAACTGGGAAATTATCACTTTGATTTTTTCCTGCTCTCATTTTTTTAATATCCTTCTGGAACTGTGATTAAATGTTTTAGATCTTTTCACTGTATCTTACATGCCTCACAACCTCCCTTTTTTATTTTTCATCTTTTCAAATCTCTGGACTACAATGTTGAAAATTTCTTTGGTTCTATCTTTAATTTAAATAATTTTTCTGATAAATTCTGATTGATAACTTGACAAATTCTTGTATTTTTATAATTTAAATTTTAATATTTTATGTCTACATGTTCTTTTAAAATCTTTTCCTTGTATTTGTAATTTTCTTTTATTTCTTAAAGCTTAATAAGTATATTATTTTTATATTCTGTGTCTGATTATTCCAGTATCTTACCTCTTTGCAAATCTTTTCTGCTATCTATTGTTTCTGATGATTCTCTTTCATGGCACTTTTTTTTTTTTTTTTAAATGCATTTTGTGCTCTCATATTCCTTTGAACATTTTCAGTGGGTATCCTTTGAGATCTGTTTTGAAGTTGAATTTTTCTAATGAGGATTTGTACTTGCTTCTGCCAGTTACTTGAGGTTAAATTACTTATTGGAAACTTTTTTGGACTATATAGTTTAGGTCTGCATTAGGGACCAGTTTGTAGTTAAAAATCCAGAGGAATTGAGATAGGCTAGTTTTATTGTTATCCTAGTCTGAGAGTCATATCTTTTTCATTATTACTCTGTGTCAGCCTTTGGGGTCCTGGTTTTGTCTTGGGTATTTCCTGTTACAGTCTCCACTTTGGGTGAGCCCTCAGTTTGATTGCCTGTCCTCTGTCCTCTTTCTGGCAGTGTTCAAAGCATAAAGCATAAGCTCGAGCCCTCCAAGTTTCATTAGAAGCTCAGAGCTAGTTTTGGCACACATTTACTTCCCATTATTCCTGATTTACTTTGATTTGGGGCTCTGTAGCTTCCTTACTTTTGTGCCAGTTTGGCAATGTGATGTAAAACATGTTTTTAATATTTTACCCAGCAATTTTTTTTTTTTTTTTTGTGCTTGTTTTGGCAGATTTATCCATATACTGCTAGAAATGGAAGCTCTGAGGGTCTGAGGACTATCCAGGCTCCTATCAGCTAGTTCTTCCCAGTTTTATGGGATAGGTAGAAGAAAACATAATTCATGGTATTGGTTCTTTCCATCTTTGGTTCCCTCCTGGTAGTTAATCCTCTACAGCCTTCTAACCCTAGTCTTTGTGGTGCATTTTTATGCAACATGTTTGTTATGTGGGCATAGTGGTTAAGAGCATTTGCTTTGAAGTTGTATTGCCTGGGCCAATAAAGCTAGATGCTGTTATCATTACTAGTAGCTACTCAGCCATGATGCCTCCTTTGTTCTCTACCTCTTCCAGATATTCTTCCTGGGTTTCTTGTGCTTAGGCCATGATAGAGAAGTTTATTGGCATCTCTATTCCTTTCCTGTATCAAAGCCCTTTTAATGTTTCTTGGCAGGAGTAGGTTGACTTATAAGTAATCTCAGGAAAACAGACATATTAACAAAATATCAAAACAGAGAAATTACAGTTAGAAGGAATAATAAAAACCTATGTTAATAGATATCCCATGGTTTTCATGAAATGGAAATAGAGTGAGGCCGGGCCTTCCTTGGATCTAGTCATAGTCCTTTTCCAACTCCTACTCTTTCTTCTAGAAACCAGATTCACTGAATTATTCTCTCAGTCTTTATCTTGTGCTTTCCTAAACCTTTGCTGAAGAACTGTGTTGTATTTTCTTTTTTCCCTGTCTTATCACACTTGAAGACAAAGGGCAGAAGTCAATTATGGTGGATGTTTGGGACTCCAGAGACTTAGTTAATAGCCACCACCCCTTTGAGTTCAGAGTTTACATGAATTAGTGTATATGAACTTCCTTGGGGAGAACTTGGCATGTATGGCATGTATTGAGTGCTATATTAGGAGTTGCTATCATGATTATTAATTTCCCTAATAAGAATTCCTTATGGCTATCTATATTTTTATAAATCCTTTCACCTGTGTTGTCCTGTTTGATCTTTATAGCAACTCACTGAGGCATAGTAATTATGTTCCTTTTACAAAGGAGGAATTTGAGGCTCATAGAGATAAACTGACCTCTAAAGAAAATAAAACTCACTGCCATCGAGTTGGGTCCAACTCATAGCGACCCCTCTGTGGGTTTCTGAGGTGGTATCACTACGGAAGTAGATTGCCCAACATCTGAATTGTGGTGTTGGCAAGAATACTGAAAATACCATGGACTGCCAGAAGAATGAACAAATCTGTCCTGGAAGATGTATGGCCAGGATATTCCTTAGAAGCGAGAATGGCCAGACTTCGTCTCATGTACTTTGGTCATGTTGTCAGAAGGGACCAGCCCCTGGAGAAAGATACCATGCTTAATAAGAGGATTTGCAAAAAAGGAGAAAACCCTCAATGAGATGGATTGACACGGGCTGCAACGATGGGCTCAAGCATAGCAAGGATTGTGAGGATGGCACAGGACCGGGCAGTGTTTCCTTCTGTTTTACACAGGGTGGCTGTGAGTCAGAGCCGACTCAACAGCACCTAACAACAACAAGACCTCATGACTAATGGGCTATAGAGCCAGTACTCAAACCCAGGTCTCCTGATTCTGAAGCCATTGCACTTTCCATGTCATTGTACCGTTTCTTCAGCTTTAGGGAGGAGGAGGTGTGAGGACTGGCTGTCTAGAGGTGATGTCTTCTCCATTTGTACATGTGGCATCCTCATATGCATATTTGTACAAAATTCTCCTTTGAGCTAGAGAGGTTGCTAAAACGGCAAGGAGGCCACATGTTCTGACCTCCTCTAACCCCACAAGAGGAAGACAGGATTACCAGCAGTAACCCAAGGCCTATTCCTGCCAGGCCAGACATGCTGCCTCCCTGCTGTTTTTGCAGTTGGTGTCAGAAATGTCGGGA